AATGCTAAGTGGTTAGGTAGGGAGGTTGTGGGTTAGGCTGTGCCTGATTTTGAAAGGGGGCGGGTCGGGGAGCAGAGAATCGCTGCGGGAGCCCAGGGCAGAGGTGGGCCTGAGACTTGGGGGGCGGGGGCAACCCAGTGTTTGCAGGAAGGGAAGGCCTCTCTCCTGGCAGGAAGCTGCGCTACGGAGTGGGGGAGGAGACGGCTGCAGTAGTGGCTGGTGGGATCCCGATGTGGCAGAGGGGCCTCTGCCGCCGACTGGGAGGCAGAGGGTCCGTGAGCACAGTGCTGGAGACACAGCCGCCACCCTCTTCGCCTGCCGGCACGCCCTCCCAGACACGCTTCTCATCTACGGATCCTCCCCAACCAGCTTTTGCAAGCTCCCTTCTTCGTGCTTGCTGATCCTCTTTCCCCTTCAGGCTCACAGCGAAGGCAGCAGAGAAGTGCCGGATTTGGGCACATGAGGCCCGCGATCCTCGGCTTTCGGGAGTCTGTGTCACCTCGCACAGTGTTGGAAATCAGGCGGGAGGAATAGGTGGTGCCCCCTATTTCTTTGATCCTGACCGCAGCTCTCTCTCTTTTGCATAGCTGGAACGAACTGGGGAGGAAGGTTACTGCAGGCACGCACCAGTATGCCTTGATTTCCAGCTTTCCAGTGTAGCTTTCGGGAAAAACTTAGGCGTGGGTGCATGGAGTGCACTGATTAGGAGACAAAGCTCACCGTGTCATGCATTGAATTTATTTTTTCTTAATTTCCTTTCTTGGACTGCCTTGCTACTGTGCTCCTCTCAAGCATGAAGACCCCTTTCGGAAAGGCGGCTGCAGGGCAGCGGTCCAGAACAGGCTCAAGGCATGTCAGTGTACCTGTTACCGTGATGAAGAGAAAGGCTGCACACAAGAAGCAGAGGAGCAGACCGCCCTCCCAGCCTCAGAGAAACATCGTGGGCTGCAGAATTCGGCACGGATGGAAAGATGGAGATGAACCTCTAACACAGTGGAAAGGAACCGTTCTGGATCAGGTACCTGTAAATCCCTCTCTGTATCTTATCAAATATGATGGATTTGACTGTGTTTATGGATTGGAACTGCACAGAGATGAAAGAGTGTCATCACTTGAAGTCTTTCCTAATAGAGTTGCATCATCTAGAATCAGTGATACACACTTAACAGAAATTATGATTGGCAAAGCAGTGGAACATATTTTTGAGACAGAGGAAGGTTCCAAAAATGAGTGGAGGGGGATGGTCTTAGCTCAGGCACCTGTTATGAAAACATGGTTTTACATTACCTATGAGAAAGATCCTGTATTATATATGTACCAGCTCTTAGATGATTATAAAGACGGTGATCTACGCATCCTTCCTGATTCCAATGATTCTTCTCCTGCAGAGAGGGAGCCAGGAGAAGTCATAGACAGCCTAGTAGGTAAACAGGTGGAATATGCCAAAGAGGATGGCTCCAAGAGAACTGGCATGGTCATTCATCAGGTAGAAGCAAAACCCTCTGTGTACTTCATCAAATTTGATGACGATTTCCATATCTATGTCTACGATTTGGTAAAAACATCTTAGAGGTCATCTTGAAATTTGCCAAACATGAGAGACTATTTGTAAAATCTATGCACACACAAAGTCTTGATTGTTTTCCAGTTTGTAAGAACCATCTTCTCCCTTTCTGCATGCTTTTGCTTGGCAAAACAAAACAAAACAGGAACTTACACTCAGACATTTTTGGAAGAAATCTTTTGCCCGTCTCTCCAACCTTTTTTACAGGTTCCTTCCCACAGGAGAATGATTGACTTATCTAATTAATGAGAAGGGTAAAGTCCTGACATCCATTGGCCCATACTGTTATCTTTGGTGGTGTTAATAGGTTAAATGTACCAGAACACCTGTTGCCTCATTCTTTTGGGTGTGTGGACTCTCTTTACTCATTGAACTATGAAGCTTCCTGAGATATTCAGTATGACTGGCTAAGTTTCTTTGAAACTCCAACTCTTCCCTCCAGGTAATTTCAAAATGTAATTTGGGGAAGAGTGGGAATCCCATTTTGGTCTCCTAAGTTGCATTTTCATTTCTAACTGTACTGAAAGTAAGACTAACATATTGCTCCCTTTCTGATTCTTGCATCTATTGCTGCTCAACTTGTTTCAAAATCAAGAGGGCAATTACTTTTCATTTTAGTACATAAGGATAGGCTGAGAAACCTTATGAAATTGATAAGAGGGCAAGCGTTTGTCAAGGTTTTTCATCAGTGGCATTAGGGCCTCTGTTGCCTGCAATATCCCTGGGTAGCACCTGTAGACATGGAGTGGGTTTTAACAAACAGGCTGTGCAGGCAGATGTTAGCACAAGTAGGCTTTGCCAACCCAATGGAGCATTAAGCCAGGCTCTAGCTAGAGTTCTCAGTCACAGGGTAAAGCCTGAGTTTAACAAGTGTTGTCAGGTCTGTCCAGGACCTCAAAATGAAAAGAGCAAAAACCTGGAATCAGGCTGAGATACAGATTTCTTTCCCATACCAAGAGAAACTCTGAGAAATTTTAGATTAACTTTTAGATTTGATTCTTAGGAGACTTCTGAGTCCCAGCATATGAGGTGGGCAAGACACTTACTAGAACTAAGAAAGGCTTCCTTGTGTAAACTGGTGCACTCATCTATCATGTTGTCCTAGCAGAACTGTGGAACATATAGAATAGAATCAGTGCCATATGATCAATAGGCTTAATGATGTTTTAAGAGCTTAATGCTGGCATCGGTAGGTAGAAATCTAATAGTTACTTGTTAGTGTTTTGTTTTTCAACTTTACCCTGTTTGTTGGCTGGTACTAAGATACTCATATGTGGGTAAGGGTGAGGCCTACTGCAGCAGAAAAATAAGTAATGGAATGGGTAATGTGCCTTCCATTATTGACGGCATCGGTGAAGGTTAACCAAAGCCTAGGAGAAACGGTTGAAAAATAAGGTTTTGGAGAGAAGCACCTGGCAAAGGCCAACACTTTCTCATTGGGTTTCTGTAGAAGTTCCATTAGCAATAACAGATGGGCCTTGGACTTCTGAAAATTTGGGGCTGGGACTCTGTGGCAACACAAACACTTGGTAAATATCTTTTAAATTAGTTTAAGTTCACAAGTCATGAACAGACAGACTAGCATTCTGCTGAGGATGAAACCAAGAAAGTAGTCTATTTTCTCCCATGTTTTCTCTACTTTTTTTTTTTATAATATATTTTTATTGATTTCAGAGAGAGGAAAGGAGAGGGAGAGAGAGAGAGATAGAAACATCAATGATGAGAGAGTCATTGATAGAGCCCGCAACCAGGGCATGTGCCCTGACCGGGAATTGAACCCTGATCGATCCCAGGTCGACACTCAACCGCTGAGCCACGCCCGGCTGAGCTACTTGTCTTTCTTTTGATGCTGCTAAGTCTCTGTTCAGGTACTCGACTGACAACAGCAATGTAGGTCTCTACTACCCTGTGTACTAAGTCCTGGGAACATAAATTTGCTTCTAGTGGCCAGGAATTAGTGTGCTTTCTAATTTTTTGGGTGTGAAGATGATTCTGTGGTCACCTTTTGTCCTATTGATATTGATACTGTGAACTCTTAAAAATATATAACATGCAGTTATGGGGTTAAATTAATTCAGCTCCTAAAGTCCTGAAGGAACTACGCCTAATCAAGATGAAGACAGCCCAGGCTGTAGCTGCCGAAGGAACCGTACATCTATCCAGACATCTTTGTGAGATCTGTATGGCTGAAATGAGAAAAACAAGAAATTGTGAAAGGCAAAATTTTGGACTTTAATTCCTTTGGACTTTAAAATAGAAATTTAATTAGGAGCATTCATTTCTCCTTTGGAGTTTAATAATTGGAGTGAGTTTTAATATAGTTCAAATTAAGGCATTTTCATTATGTTCTTGATATTCTAATTTTTAGAGTATTTTAATGTGCTATCTTTGGGGCTCATTGTGTAATTTTTGTAAACTATATCATATATTGTGCTTGGACATAATTATAAATTAGGGATAAAATAGTGAGTGAATTTTCAGCCTGGGGTATAATGCAACTTGGAATTCATTTCATTAATGTTCTATTCTGACTTATTTCAGAGCCTTCTAGGGTTAAAAACAGAACTGCTCACCAGTCTTCCACAGATGGAAGCAAGACATTCCTAAGATACTGCTGGTCTCCCCCACAGGGGCAGCCATAGTCTTGAGTGTTGACCACTATGGCTTAGAGAACAAAAATGTCCATGGGTATGATAGGATATATCTTTTGTCTCTCTCCATGTTCCTGACTCAAGAAAAAAATAATAAAGGACTTCCTCTCTCAAAAATATTTGGAAGAAAACTTCTGCCTATCTCCACTTGCCATTCATTCAGTCTTCCATGTGGGAGGAAGAATAACTTGATAAAATTTAAAAAGGGTTATTAGGAATAGGCAGCCTAAGTCTCTCTTGCCTCTTCAGCTCATTCCTTACAGCATGGCATGGGAAAGAATGTAGGCCCTCACTACATGGCTGGGTAAGCATCTACTTTACACTTGGGGTAGAAGTACATTTCAGGCTCAGGTCCAAACCATGTTCTCCAGTCCAGATCTATCAGTAATAAAGCTGGTATCTATTTTTATTCTTTTAAAAATGTTAATATATAAATTGTTTTTGGAGAAAAACACCATTTTTATCTCTGGTAAAAATGAAATGGTACTAAAGGGTATAAAGTAAAGAGTAGGTCTCCTTTCCCCCTTCCCACCCTTATCTCAGTCCCTCAGTCCCACTTTCCAAAGGTAACCACTGTTACCAGTTACTATGTATGCTTCCAGAGATAATCCATGTATATGCAAGCATATTATGTGTGTATATCAGTTTTTTATACAAATGGTGGCATATTGTACATGCTGTTCTGAATTTTGCTTTTTCACTTAACAATATATTAAAGCTGATATTTACCCCTCTTTGATTCCTGTATTTTTTAGTTGATTTAGAATTTGGAGGGGAAGGAGGTGTGACTAATTCAAACCTTCAAACCTGAATCTGGTTTAATGAAAACTTACATGTCCCTACAAACCCACCATTTCTGCCTGGCAAATTTTTTTAACTAGTAGAATGTGAAGTATATGTGAACATGATTGATACTGTGGAAGGAATGCCTTGAGAGAGGCCTGTATATATATTTTTCTTTCAGTGTTGAGAGTATTATAGATGTCCCCCATTTCCCCCCCATTACTCCCCTCCCTCCGCCTCCCACCCCTCCCCAATTCTTCATCTATATATTGTCTGTATCCATGAATATTTTTGTTGAGGTATGTTAAAGGGGAAATCAACTGTAAATTGAAGTTGTGGGAAAAGTTAAGGTAATATAATAAGTAACCCAAAAATTAAATAAACAATATTTTTTTATTGCAACATGCACTCACATATACTGTCATGTACAAATTTATGATAGTTTTTACTTGCTTTTTCTATATGCTTTACTGCATATAACAGTAAACCTATTTTAAACAGATTTAAACAGTTACCAAGCATCATTAATTCCTGTGACTAAACTAATCAAGAGGTTAGATGGGCTTCAGGCACAGTTTGATTGAGGCTCAGGCTCAGTGTGTGATTATTTAGGATTTTCTCTACTCTACTTGTCAATTTCATTCTCAGTTTGCCTTTGACTTTTCTCATGGTAGCAAAATTAGACCAGCAGTTCCAAGCTATCGCAGTCCAGAGATAAATAACCTATGTCCTGTAATGTATTCTGAACTTGCTTAGGTCGCATACCTGGTTCAATCACTGAAGTTTCATGGATGAAATGCACTGAATGGCTTAGCCAGGGCATGTGCTCCATCCCTGAACCTAGGATATATCTCCCTAGAACCAAATGGATTCCTAGTAAATTCAAGGGCATGAGGAATGAATGCCATGAACCAATCACAAATGTCTAGTATTGCTTCTTACTTTGGGTAGCAAGCATCCATGGACATCTTTCTTCCCACATATCTACTTTCAAAAGTGCCCACACCTACATGTAGTGAATTTATGTTTTCAAAGGGGAAAAACCTAGTCTTATCCAGTTACTGCATTTTAGCATTGAGATTTCTAGTTGATATGCAACCATCTTCAGATTCATTACCCTAGCAGTCTTGTCACCTGCAGTTAAATTATAAACTACCCTTCACCACAACATACCCCATATACAATTGTGGAGAAATAAGCAGGGAAAAATACCATTTTAAAAAGGGAGGAAATAGAAAACAATATAGAGTAGTTTCTGGTTCAAAGAATATCATAAACTGTTAGACAAGGAATCCCTGCCCTGGCAGTAAAGTAAGTCCTCTGGTCAGCCAGCCTCTTTTTGTTCTCTAAAAGGCAATCCCATCGAGACATATCTTAGGCGAATATCCCTTCTGGGAGATGGAGAGATTTACCAGGCTACTTCAATTTATATCATCTTGTGCCTGGAAGTTGTTCTGGGGTTAAACTGTTTGTTGTTGGCTAGACTTGGACTTGCTTAATATAATAGTTCTCAAACTTAAGCACATATTAGAATCACCTGGAGAACTTGTTAAAATACTGATTGCTGGGACCCACCAACAGACACTGTGATTCAGTAGGTCTAGGTCTATACATTTCTAAAAAGTTGTCACAGGAGAGTGATGCTGCTGGTCCTGGGACCCACACATTGAGAATCACTAAGTTATAGGTGGCAATTGTGTGAGGAATGTTCAGAGTCATTATTTCCTTAACTTAACTGATAATAAATTTACCTGGGGTGCTTGCTAAAATATAAATTCCCAAGGCTCACCTTAGATTTAATGAATCAAAATATCTTGCTAAGCAAGTAGGGAAACCTGAAAAAGCTGTACCAGATATCCCAGGTGATTCTTATCATCATATCAGTACTGATTGAGAAATACTGGTCTTGGAAATTAAGCCATTTGTGGCAATATGGATGTATCTTGAGAGTATTATGCTAAGTGAAATAAGACAGGTAGAAAAGAAAAAAAATGTATGTTTTCACTCATGTGGAGTAAAAAACAAAAAAGTAACAAAAACTAACAAAGCAAACAAAAACAAACTCATAGCTTCTGACAGCATAATGGCGGTTACCAGAGAAGAAGGGGTGGAGGAGGGTGAATCGGTAAAAGTATAAAATATATAGAAAGGGGTATGGAGGCTGGGTGGAGGTGAGTAAATGGGGGGGGTGTTAAATGGGGGACAGCTGTAATAAATAAAATAAAATAAAATAATAAAATAAAATATATGGTAAAGAAGGAAACTAGACTTTTATTGGTGAGCATGCAACAGAGTATAAAGGTATCAAATTATAATGTTGTACACCTGAAAATTATATAATGTTATTAATAAATGTTACCTCTAAATTTAAGTAAAAATAAATGATAAAGAAAAATGTTACTGAAGTTCACATAAGGAAACATTGAGCACAAGTACTATGTTTGGCAGAATAATGGCCCCCTAATATATCCATGTCCTAATTTCCAAACCTTGTGATTATGGTATCTTAGATGGCAAAAGGGACTTTACACATGTGATTAGCTATCTTCAGATGGGGAGATTGTCCTGGATTATTCAGATGAGGGCAATGTAATCACAAAGCAGGAAGATCAGTCAGAAAAGGAGATTTTATGATGGAAGTAGAGTCAGAGAGTGACAGTGAAACAAGAGGGAGAGATTTGAAGATGTTACACTGCTGGCTTTGAAGATAAAAGAAGAGGACTTGAGCCTAGGAATGCAGGTGGCTTCTAAAAGCTAGGAAAGGCAAAGAAACAAATTCTCAGAAGGAGTGCATTAGAAGGAATGCAGCCCTTTGACTCAGTTGAGACTTCTGACTTTTAGACCTGTTAGAGAATAAATTTAAGGGTTTTTTTTTGTTTTTGTTTTTTAAGAAATAGTTAAAAACAGGCAGGGAAAGAAATGTAACCTACAAAGGAACCCCCATTAGGCAATCACTGGATAACTCAGTTAAAACTCTACAGTTCAAGAAAGAATGGAATGACATGTTCAAAATGTTGAAAGATATAAGAGAGGTTTTATTTCTGGGTTCTCTGTTCTTTCCATTGATCTATGTGTCTGTTTTTGTGCCAGCACCATACTGTTTTGATTATTATAACTTTGTAGTATAGTTTGAATCAGGGAGCATGATATCTTCGACTTTGTTCTTCTTTCTCAGGATTGCTTTGGCTATCTGGGGTCTTTTCAGCTTCCGTATAAATTTTAGTATTATTTGTTTTACTTCTAAGAAT